AGTCTTTATAAAATCTCTTAGTAGCGTATCTAATATAGTATATATATCTTCGCTATCTTTAGTAGATTTTAAAGATAGGATTTAGATCTCTATCTTATAAGACGGATCTACTGTAATAGCAGCTTCCTTACTAGCTTTTCGCTTAGTAGGCTTACTAGCTGATTTGCTAGTTTCTTTACTAGCTGATTTACTAGTAGATAGGCTAGTAGATTTACTAGTAGATTTACTAGTAATCTTCTTTTTAATAGGGTTTCCTACTTGTTTAGCAGATCTTTTCTTAGTTCCTGGTTCCTGATTAGCTAGATCAGATTAATTTATTAGGAATCTACCTTCTAAGATAGTAGGGTCTCTTAACTAAACTATCTTCTTCTGCTTCAGGTTATATAGCTTATAGTACTTCTGCTCACTATAGCTAATAATAATAGCTATAGATTTTCTTGGCGATAGCTTGCTAGGTAGTTTTTTGTTTATATAATAGTAGGCAATAGATCCCTAGGTCTTTATATACCTAATAGCAGGTAAGCGCTTATAATATATCTTATAGGGTGATTTAAACCCTAGAGCACTATATAGGGTTATATTATATAGATAGGTAGTAGCTAATAAGGCTTCTCTCTATATATCTTCTTTTAATCCTAATTAGATTAATAAATATCTAACCTTATTTATAAGTATTAGGTTTATACGCTTAATTAGGCTATTTAGCTCCTTTATATAGATAGGCGTAGTTCGGTGTATAATACCGTATCTTCCTAATAATATATAGAAGTTATTATTCACGTATTTAGTACTATTATCGGTAAATATCTCTTTAATCTTCTTATTAAGCTAGTTTTCAACTAATTGCTTATATAAGGTAAATTTCTTAATAGCATCGTCTTTCAATCGAAGTAGAGATATATAAAGATATCTTGATACTTTGTCAAGAAACGTGATATAGTAGCGATAGCTATTATAGGTCTTAGGGCTAATAGGCCCTCTAATATCGCTATATATTCTTTCGCCTATACCGTATTCGGTAGTAGAAGTAGAAGATTTATTAATCTTCCTGTTATATTTTAACTATATATATATTTTGTATATATTTTGTATATAATCTCTTATTTCTATTTTAGATAGAGATATATTAGCCTGGCTTAGTAGCCTTTATAGTGGTATTAGGCCTATATAACCTAATCTATTATACTAAAGTTTTAATATACTAGTAGTATTACTAGTACTTTAGATAGATTAATCTTGATAGATTATATTAGATAGATCTTTTAATTTTGATTAGCTAGAATCTTCCTTATGTAGCTTTGTATGTATTATATATAGGGTAGTTCGATATAGATTATCTTGCTTATGCCTAATTAGTATAATATTTCGATATTAATCGAAAATAGTAGCCTTTTCTCTATTAAATAGAGATACTAAATTTTTTAGTGTATATATGCTTAATATATTAATTCCTAATTGTGGGATATAGAGTATATTAGTCAATTTATAGACTAGATTAGTATTCGTCTAGAAGATAATATCTCTAGCAAGATCGATAGATAATCTTTGTATATTTCCCTATATAACAGTTTTATTAGTTTTATATATACTATTAAACAAATCTAATTTAGATACTATATATATAGTAGCAGCTATATTAATAATGAAAATCACTTTTATAGTAGAAAGATCTGAATTTATTAGATTATATACACTTTCTATAGTGATATTAGAATTAGTTTCTTGGTTTGTTTTGATAGGTAGATAAATTACCTAATCAGTTTTATACGAGAACTTATCGTAGAGTAAGAGACTTCTTGGTGTATTTACTATAGATTCATTACTCAGATTTGAGTAGTCTCTTATTAGGTTTTAATCATTAAAGATTAGTAGGCTATACCTAATTAGCTATGCCTCTGTTATAGGTATATTATAGTCAATTTGACTAATCGGTGTATAACAGATATCACTATCAAGATTAATTAGATTATTAGCTAATAGGCTAGTAGATAGTAGGTTGCTAGCCGAAGTTTCTTGATGTTTAGCTTCTACAGGGTAATCTATTATATGACTAGTAACGTGGATTTCTTCCTTGTTAGATTGCTTATTAAGTATTACTATGATTATCTTCTTTTGTTGATTAAATCTTTGATTATTTTGATTAGATCTAGGCTAATTTACCCTAGGTATCTAATTAGCTAGTCTACTAGAAGGATATAGATACTAGCAATCTGCTACTATATAGCTTCGTATATTATAATGCGTATAGTATTTGCCAGAATTTGATAGTTTTTTCCACGGTTTTTTGCTAATTCGACGATTTTGATTAGCCTAACGATTTAATTAGTAATTTACCTGATAGTTAGGCTTATGATTATCCTAGTAATTACTTTAACGATTATTTTGACGATTGCTTTAACGATTGCTTTAACGATTGCTTTAGCTAGTAGCTATAAAGATTTGCTTGCTCGATTGAATATAACCGCGCGATTCGTTAATTAGATTAGTGAATAGCGATTTAATTGAATAAGAATCAGAATCTCTACGAAGAGATTAGATAATATTTTGAATAATCGGTGCGTACGATTAGTCGAGATTATTAAGAACCTATACGAATACGATTTGCTTTAGGAAATCGATTCCTAGGCTTGCTAGTTCGATTAGCAGGCGTCTTATCTTAGTAAGATAATTATATATACTATCGAAATCGCCTAATTGACTATTAAATAGGCTTTTTAATATAAGGAATTCGGTAGTGAAGCCTTTAGGTCGATATTAGGTAGCTAAGGTAACCTATGCTTGGTAGGCCGATATAGTATCTCCTAGCTAAAAGAGTAGGCTATCTTTATATAATAGCTTGATTAATAATAGAGTATCTCGATTTATCTAATTAATAGTTTTAAATTTATTAGATAGAATAACTAGCTTATTTTAGCCTATCTTAGCAGGGCTAGTAGATCTTGTAGGTCTACTAGATCTTCTTCCTAACTAAATCGCAGTATTTCTACAATCAGGTAATCGTTGATTAGGTAGTAGAGCAATTGCTTTTTCATAAGACTAGTATTGATTAGGAATCTAGCCTTACTAAATAGCAGGAAGCTTTATGTAATCGTGTTGGATTGTATTAATTAGTCTCTCTTGATCAAGAATCGCCTTGATTCGGATAGACCAGGTAATATAATTTCCTTCTCCTTTAAGAGGATCGATATTATGTTTGTTAATCATCTTGAGTTTTAAAAACTTGATTAAATATTTAAAAAATGATTGTTTTTGTTAAGAAAGTCGAGATTTCTTAGTATTTCGTATAGAGAAGTAGATACGACCGGTAAAAATCGAGTATAAATTTTTGAAAATAAGAAGTCGGAGGAGCTTTTTGTTTCTCTTTAAGAGAGAGAAGTTTCTCTTAAAAGTAAGGGATTCTTTGATGAAGATAGAAGATTAAAGAAGTGGTATAAGCCGAATTGAAGTAGGATCAATTCGGGCTCATAACATGTGAGCAAGCGATGCTACGCAGGTTAGGTAGAGAGGAAGTAAGATTAATTAATCTTCTTCCTTTAATTGAATAGGAAGGATAAAATCAATTCGGCTTAGAATCATAAAGATGAAATGAGACAAAGTAAGGTAGGACTGAAGCTTGGTTGATTATATTGAATCTTGCTTGTATATCTTGCATGATTATTATCTTGGTAGAGAAAGCAGGGCATATTTATAATCAACTTGTCTCTTGTATGTGATCGTTCTAGATGATGCATGATGATCTCATGCAGATAGATCTAGATGCATAGTGATCTCATGCAGTAGCTGTTTGATCGGTGGTTGCTTGATTGTACGATGTCATTGACTGTAGTGATGATATAGATCGTGTCATTGACCGTAGTGATGATGGTATAGCATAAAGCTTATAGAGATTCAGCCATCTTGTATAGGCCTTATGAATCTGGCTTGATATACTGCATGACGGTTTAGGCATCTTGCCCTATATCTCACAAGGATCCTATCGTCTTACAAATTCCGTCGATAAGGTATTACCGCGCTAATAATTATAGGACTCGTAAATCGGAGAGGGGACGGAGTAATTACTAGAATATATAAGCTCGAAGTAACGGCTAAAGAGTGTATTATCTATTTCTTCGATTATAGGAGGCTAGAGGATCTCCTTTAGGAATAGGCTTATCAAAGCCGTATAGATAAAGATTTTCTGTCGGTCTTTGCCGACAACGAACTAAGTAATACTAGAGTATATGACTCTACTCACGCATTAGCAGCAAGAGCATAACGGGAGATGAAGACTGCATATTACCTATAATATTCAACAGCTATATTAGTATAGTAACTAGATATGCGCTTCACCCTACTAAGAGTGATAGTCGCCTAGAGGTTGATAAGGTGAAGCCGAAAACGAGGGTGAAAGCCAGAATTACTAGAAATTTACAGGCTTCACCTCTTGGGAAATACAACCGAAGTGAGAGGTAAACCAGAACCGGCACCGATAATAAGCGATGAATTTATAATAGGCTTATCAAGTACTGTACTCTCCTGGCGAAAGTGGTAGCCATTGGCAACGCGCTCCTATAATAAGGTACGATACCCAATCCACTGCGGTGCTAAACCTGAAAGGACTAGTGCCGTAGCGTGTCGCTCTAACTTTGCCTAAGGAGAAAGTAACGCTCTTCCTGGATGTATCTCTGCCATCCTTTGCCATTATCTGTTCTTTCTTGAAGCTCGTTCCTACCTGGAGTGAAAAAGAAGAACTAGTTCTCTCCTCACTACAGGTCATCGTAGAATTGCGCTAGGAATCAAAATAAATACGTTTAACCAGCTATTTCTCGGACGTTTCTTATACTGATACTGTTGTTTCACTACATTTGAACCCAGTCGTATAGGGGATTATTATATCCAAAGATCTGAATTCAAAGCTCTAGCAAATTCTAGGCACAAAAATAAGCAAGTACAAGTCCACGCTATAACACCATGCTCTATAGAGGTCCAGTCACAGTCGAATGAGAATCATGAGCATGGCGCTAAAAGTGCATAACTTCTGCAAAATCTTTATCACAAACATTACAGACAATGACGGTGCTTAATAAAAGGTTCTGTAGATGCTTTCGCTTGATATGCTTCGAAACATCACTATATGATAAGAATTGTTGCACGCGCTTCTTGAGGGCTAGGTTTTGCTTCCCTACACAAATAAAGCAAAATAAGGGTCGATGGTTATTTATGATAGATCGAATAGCATTTTCGACTAGGCTTGATGATTAAGTCTGGACCTTAGTCGCTTCACTTTCTGGCTTCTGATCTTCGTGATAACGGCGCTCGACCACAATCAGCCCGTTTGTTCTATAGCAAACGACACGTGGTACCTTCCTCGAATTAATAGTAAGTAGTAATAGCATCGATAGCTTCGGTACGCCGGTATATTTCTTAGTCTAGTATCGGCGATAGCAGGGTTAGAAGACGCTTAATCAGCCGTTTCTAAGGCTCGGGTAGCTCCTCGGTATACCGAAGCTTTATTGTTACCGATTCGACTAGTTTAGTTTCCGATAGCTGCCGCTATACTTCTAATATAGGCTAGTCTTTATTATATTTCTACTAAAGCTATAATAGTAGCGCGTTTCTAGCCCGTTCCCTAGCACTACTAAGCTCTTGATTCAACTTTTGATAGCTTTAGTATTTCGCACTTCCCTAGTACTAGGAAAGCGGACGGCTAAGCTATCGGCTAAGTTCATCGCGACGCTAGATAAGGGTAGAAATTTCAGGCTATTAGTTAACTAAGATAGATTAAGTAGTTGTTAATTCTTAGGGGCGGTTAGGGTTAATTATCCGGCTTATTCGATAAGCTATATATATAATATCGTTATCTAGGTTTAGGCCTCGGATAATAGCAGGAAGGTTCTTGTTAATCCGTCGGTCGAGGTAGTACTTTAAAAAGGTACAAGTGTTAGCGTAGTATATAATTAAGTTACGAAGTAAATCACTTACGGCCCCTTAGGTATAGGTAGTTAGTTACTAGAAATTTTATAAGGATAATATAGGGGAATAAATACTGCTATTATCTAACGCCTTCCTAGCCCCGTACCGAAGGCTATAAGGACGAGCAACTTGTCGGAAACTAGTGATAGTGCTAATATTTTTAACCTAGGGAAGAAGGGTTAGTAGGGTAAATATTTATTAGCTAAAATCCTGATTCCTTGTAACGTTCGCTTAGTCTACCGAAAAACCGGTATATCGTCTAAGGCCGGATCGAGCAGTAATAGAAGCTCGTTATAGCTATCCCGGATATATAAGCGAGGAAGCTGTTCGGCGGATATTAGAACTTCCTCTCCTTTAACTCGCTTAAAGGTATAGTCTGCAAAAAGCAGCCCTAGCAAGAATATATAGGGACTAAGAACAAGCAATAGGTCAAAAATAATCTCCGGTAGAATATATGTATTTCTATCTAACAGTTAGCAAGCTATAACGAGAATAATCGTGATCTATCTTACTTATCCTTTACGCTAAGGAATCCCTTTATATATTCAAATTTGAATTCGATCAAGATTCTATAAGGCCTACCCTGCGGGTCTCGGAGCAAACTAACTCGGATATAGCAATAGCGCAAGCTTAGAACTGCCTAGAGGCGATTAGTAGTAAGACTAGCTAATTACAAGAAAAGGCACAATTCGATACGATACCGACCGTGTCCGAATTTTTTCTTCGTCGTACTACTAGCCGTTTCGACGACTATAGTTAAGTCCTCTATAAATATAGTAGACTTTTCGCGGCCTTTCTAAGATAGTTTATGTTTTCGGACTAACTTACGGATCACCTATAATATCAATCAGATTTATCTATAGTATAGAAAAGAAGAGAAGCCCTTAGGGCTAAGGCGCGACTTGTTTCTTACCCGGCGTATCTGTCGATTTATCTAACTTCTAATCTTTTCTAAGGTTGCTCTTTCGAAGACTAGCCGAAAAACCTTCTAAAACGTCTTTAGGGAGCTCTTTCGTTTAATTCCGGGCAATCGTCTTCTATTTTTACCTCGTCGCAAATTTAAGGCCTAGTTAAGAAAAGTATATAAAATAGTAATAGATAGCTTTCGGAATTCCTTTTCAGGATCCTTACGGAGATATATATAGAATCTAAAAAGAATTAGGGAAATAAAGGATTAAAAGAGGGACAAGGTCTACGAAGGAATAGGACTGACTATTTCTAACAAGCCTCGACCTGATCAAGAAGGGTAGTAGTTCCTTTGCTATAGTCCTCCTTTATATATATAGACTCGTTAAACTTAGCAAGTTACTATAGGTAATACTCTGCAGAGTGTTTATTATCTGCAAAAAGTTACGCGATATCACTAGGATCTTTGAGTTAGTCCTTATCGAAATCAGGCTCTGTCGGGTCGGTATCGTACTACTCGTCGCAGCTATTATTAGAGCTATCTTCTCTAGTCTATGAATCACTATTATACGATTCTGACCTGGCCTATCGTCGAGATCGGGCTATAGTACTATAGGATAGATAGAATTATAGAGGAGCGTGCGAGTAGACGTGAGAAACTAAGTAGGGAGCTAACGTAATTAGTTAACAGGGGCCGGGGAACAACGTCTATTTAAATAAATCTTCTGATAAACACATCTTTAAGCTAGAAAAAAAAGGTTGCTACAGAGTAGGCGTGGGAATCAGGATTGGCCGTGTCGCGGCGGTCCCTAAGACCGCAGCTAGCCTGTTAGCTGCGGGCTGGCTGCGGTGGGTGGAGACGAGGATACATAGGCGGCAGCCAGAGGGGGACAAATAGGTAGGCGTGCGCGGATGTCGAGGTACGTGGCGGGAAATATAGCAAATGGACGGCTTAAAACGGCCTTACTTGCGGCCATTTCTGGCAGCCCTTTTGCCGTCTGCTAGTTTAATAGAGTATACTAATAGACTATATAAGAGGAAATATAGTCTTAAATATCCTTATATATTTAAATCTAATAGAACTTATACTTAAGGAGAGCCTCTATATAACTAGTACTAAAATAGCCTACTAATAGATCTTTATAATAGAGAGAAAGAAGCTTCCGACGAAGATTCTTACTAGAAGGAATAAATAACTCTTATAATAAAGAGCGCTATTATATCTAAAGAACTAATATTTAGGTAATAACCTAGTACGCTTTAGTCGAATATATAACTTATTATTCTTCTAGATACTTAGGATAAAATAACGTAGATTAATATAGTATTAGGAGTATAAACTTACTCTTAGTAGTATATTATGAGATATAGGGCAAGATGCCTAAACCGTCATGCAGCATATCAAGCCAGATTCATAAGGCCTATACAAGATGGCTGAATCTCTATAAGCTTTATGCTATACCATCATCACTACGGTCAATGACATCGTACAAGACGCATACAATAGTATACGATCTACATCATCACTACAGTTAATGACATCGTACAATCCAGCAACCACCGATCAAACAGCTACTGCATAAGATCACTATGCATCTAGATCTGTCTGCATGAGATCATCATACATCATCTAGAACGATCACATGCAAGAGACAAGTTGGTTATAAATATGCCCTGCCTTCTCTACCAAAATAATGACAATCATATTCAATACATACAAGTAAGATTCAATACAATCAACCAAGCTTCAGTCCTACCTCACTTTTCTCTTACCTTTATAATCCTAAGCCGAATTGAACTTATCCTTCCTATTCAATCAAGAGGAAGAAAGATCAATCGATCTTATTTAATCATCTTTAATTTATCTTCCTCTTTACCAACCTGCGCAGCATCGCTTGCTCACATATATAGACTATACTAAAGTACTAGAGATTCGTTAGTCGCAAGCTAATAATTCTAATATAAGATAGTTTATCTTCTTTACTAAAGAAGCCTCTAGATAAGGAAATGGCCTATTATTACTAGTATTAGAGCTATAAGGCCTAGTATCTTTACTATTATTTAACCTAGAGAATAAATATATAAAGTTATTAATAAGAGTACTATTAGCGAATAATTCGTAAGGCTTATCTGTAATAATAGCTCTTAGTATTAGTAGACCTAATATAGTAGAATAAGAGCTACTTCCTAACTTTAGTAGACCTAAAGTAGAGATATCTTCTAGCTTTAGTAGACCTAAAGTAATAGAATAGGAGGATTTAATACTCTATATAAATATAGGTTCGAGAGCTAAATACTTATAAAGAGATACTAAAAAATCACTATCTTAAGTATCCTTAAGAGTAGGATTAGTTTAATAGGAAAGGCTATTAGTAGGATTAGTCTTCTCTAGATCGTATTTTATTATAAAATTATAGGGTATTAGAAAAAGATACTATCTTACTTATCTTCTATTAAGGTAAGATTACTTTATAAAGGATTAGAGATTCTAGTAATCTAATAATATCTTAATTAGATAGTTTAAATCTTCTAAATAATATTACTACTATATATCGATATCGATCTTATAGTAAGTTAACCTCTATTCTAATTCCTAAAAGATCTTAGAGTAAGACTACTATAGATTTTATAATAGGTTTAACTAAAGTTATTTTTAATAGGTATTATATTAACGCTATTCTTATTATTATAGACTATTTTACGAAAATAGCCTATTTCCTTACTATCTTAATAGATATTAATATAGTAGAGCTTATAGAGCTCTTATATAATATAATTAAATTAAAATATAGGCTACCTAATAGAATTATCTCTAATTAAGGACTAGTCTTTACTAGTAAGTTATAGAGTAAACTTTATTATTACTAGTATTTAAATAATTTAATAATAGCAAAAAGCTCCTAGTCTAGAGTACTATAATATAGCTCGGCTCTAGAGAATTTTTTTAACTAGAAAGTAATTAGGTACTAACGTCCTTACTTATTAATTTATAACAAAATCCCTACTATCCTATAATTAGAAGTATTAGTTTTAATATAAATTAGTAATAAGGGGTTAAAATAATAAAGTAGAGTTATAACTTAAAAGGCTATAATAAGTCCTTTAAACGCTATCCTCTTAGTTAGGTTTAATTTAATAGAGCTAGGCTTTTTCCCTTTTATACTACCCTTTAATAGGTTAGTAAGAGGGTAGGTAATTAATAAATAGTAAGGGATAAAATAATAGTAAAAATTATAGAATCCTAAGAAGATTTAAATCTTATAGTAAGTCTTAGGAAGCTTCTATTTCCGGATTATCTCGATTCTATAAGGATCTATCGAAATACCGTCGACTCTAAGGATAAATCCTAGGAAACTAACTTCTAATTAATAAAAAGTATATTTAGAAAAATTAGTATATAATTTCGCCTCTCTTAAGCACTATAAGACTTAATAAAGGTATTAGGTATACTTATCTCTAGTCTTCGAAAAGATAAGGATATTATCAAGATATACTATATAAAAGATATTAAGATAATTATATAAAGCGTTATAGATATAGCTTTAGAAGGTAGCTAGAGTATTAGTTAATCTAAATAGTATTACTAAATACTTATAATAGCTATAATAGATACGAAAGGTAGTCTTCTACTTATCTCCTTCTCTAATCTATATATAATAATACGTATCCTTAATATTAAGCTTAGAAAAGAACTTTACTCCTTAAATACGATTAAGTAGTAAAGAGTAACGATTCTTTATAGTAATATAGTTAAGACTACGATAACCTATATAAAGATATAGACCTCTATTAGCCTTAGGTATAAAAAGAATCGGAGCTCTAGTAGAGCTCTTAGATAGTCTAATCCGACTAGCCTTTAGATTCTCTTCTAAATATTCTTTTAGAATCTTTAATTTGTATACGGAAAGGGAATAAATAGGACTAAATAGTAGTTCCTTACCTAGTTCTATATTAATTATGTAGTCTAATTAACTATAAGGAAGTAAAGTCTTTATAAGTTTATATAAGATATAGGGCAAGATGCCTAAACCGTCATGCCATCAAGCCAGATTCATAAGGCCTATACAAGATAGCTGAATCTCTATAAGCTTTATGCTATACCATCATCACTACGGTCAATAACATCAAGTAAGACGTATACAACAGTATACGATCTACATCATCACTACGGTCAATAACACGATCTACATCATCACTATAGTCAATGACATCGTACAATCAAGCAACCACCGATCAAACAGCTACTACATAAGACCACTATACATCTAGATCTATCTGCATGAGATCATCATGCATTATCTAGAACGATCATATACAAGAGACAAGTTGATTATAAATATGCCCTGCTTTCTCTACCAAGATAATAATGATGTTCAAGAAAAACAAGCAAGATTCAATACAATCAACTAAGCTTTAGTCCTACTTTACTTTTCTCTTATCTTTATAATTCTAAGCCGAATTGATTTTATCCTTCCTATTCAATTAAAGGAAGAAGATTAATTAATCTTACTTCCTCTCTACCTAACCTGCGTAGTATCGCTTGCTCATAGGTTATAAGCCCGAATTGATCCTACTTTAATTCGGCTTATACTACTTCTTCAATCTTCTATCTTCAACGAAGAATACTTTACTTTTAAGAGAAACTTCTCTCTCTTAAAGAGAAACAAAAAGCTCCTCCGACTTCTTATTTTCAAAAATTTATACTCGATTTTTACCGGTCGCGTCTACTTCTCTATACGAAACACTAAGAAATCTCGACTTTCTTGACAAAAACAATCATTTTTCAAATATTTAATCAAGCTTCTTTAACTCAAAATAATTAATAAACATAATATCGATCCTCTTAAAGGAGAAGGAAATTATATTGCCTAGTCTATCCGAATTAAGGCGATTCTTAATCAAGAGAGACTAATTAATATAATCTAATATAATTACATAAAGCTTCCTACTATTTAGTAAGGCTAGATACCTAATTAATACTAGTCTTATAAAAAAGCAATTACTCTACTACCTGATTAAAGATCGCCTGATTATAGAAACACTACGATTTAGTTAGGAAGAAGATCTAGTAGACCTAGAAGATCTACTAGCCCTACTATCTCTAAGATAGGCTAGAATAAGCTAGTTATCCTATCTAATAAATTCAAAACTATTAATTAGATTAATCGAGATACTCTATCATTAATCAAGCTATTATACAAAGATAGCCTACTCTTTTAGCTAGGAGATACTATATCGGCCTACTAAGTATAGGTTACCTTAGCTACCTAATATCGACCTAAAGGCTTTACTACCGAATTCCTTATATTAAAAAGCCTATTTAATAGTTAATTAGGCGATTTCGATAGTATATATAATTATCTTACTAAGATAAGACGCCTGCTAATCGAACTAGTAAGCCTAGGAATCGATTTCCCTAAGCAAATCGTTTTTGTATAGGTCTTGAATAATCTCGATCAAAGTTATATACTAATTGTTCAAAATATTATTTAATCTCTTCGTAGAGATTCTAATTCCTATTCGATTAAATCGCTATTCGCTAATCTAATTAACGAATCGCGCGGTCACATTCAATCAAGCAAGTAAATTTTTATAGCTGCTA